AATTTTGATTTGATTTGATTTATTATTATCATATGTACCTAATGAACAGTGAAGAGTTTTGTTTTGTTTGCAGTACAGGTAGATCATACCATATAAAGATCATAGGGTGATAAAACAGAGTGAAGAATACAAAGTTACAGCTGCAAAGAAGGTGTACCAAAAGCAAGGTCAACATTAGGTGCAAAATTTGAGAGGTCCATTCAGAAGTCTAATAACAGCAGTGAAGAAGCTGTTCTTGAACATGTTGGTACGTGTTTAAGCTTTTGTATCTCTGCCCGATGGAAGAGGTTGGAAGAGATTATAACCGGAGTGACAGGGATCTTTGATGATGTTAGCTGCTTTTCCAAGGCAGTGAGAAGTATAGGTGAAGTCAATGGATAGAAGGCTGGTTTGTGTGATCAACTGTGCGGTGCTCACATCTCTCTGTAGTTTCTATCGGTTCTGGGCAGAGAGAGGTAATGATTGACAAATTTGGTGACAGTATGAAGATAGATAGATAGTAACACAAGTTGTGAAGAGGACATATGGATGACAAAAAACCATATAATAGGTTAATTAAGTGGGTAAACATCTGCCAAATGGATGATAATATGGGAAAATGTGAAGTAATCCATTGCAGCAGGAGGAATAAAATGTATATTAGCTAAATATTGAAAGTTTACAGAGCTTTGAGATGCAGAGAGATCCAGGTGTCTAAGATCACTAATTTCACAAATGACACAGAAATTGGAGGTGTGGTAAATAGCAACAGGAAAGCCTTAAATGATAGGACGATATAGACAGTCTGGTCAGGTGGGCTGAACAATGAAAAATGGAATTTAATCCTGAAAAGTGTATCAGGTAATGCACACTGGGAAGACTAGCAAGGCAAAGGAGTACACATTTAATGATAAGACCTGAGGAGGTACAGAGCATCAGAAGGATCTTGGTGTGCATGTTAATAGATCCTTGAAGGTAGCAGGACATGTAGCTGAGGTAGTTAAGAAGGCATGTGAGATACTTGCCTTTATTAGTCGAGGCATTGAATATAAGAGTGGCAGTGGTGGGAGCACAGCACAGCAGAGTGAATCTGGGGTAAACAGTGGCAGGAACTACCAGATAAATGCCTGAGGAGTAGAGTCAGTCAGAGTGGGACTGAGGACAGTCAGCGTGGTGGCAGTGGGAGTGGAACTTAAGCCAGAGGTGGAACTCTGGCGGAGACTTCACAACTCAAAAAATGCCGTAGGCTTGGCTGCTCAGGAACCAGGTCTAGAGACTAAGTGAGTAGTGTCAAGGGGGAGATAGTGTATAAAGTACTTACTTTTGTTGTTGCAGTTTGTTAGGAATAGAGAGCGAGAGTAAGAAAGCTGATTTTGGTGAGTAGTGGGTAAGGATGTGTAATTGGTTCCTAGTTTATTGTATATAGTTGATAAGGTTCACAATGGCAGGAGAACATAGCCCCATGGAATTCTCTGCCAGCAATATGTGGGAAATCTGGGACACTTCCAATGTCCATGATGACAATGTACGTGAGAATTGTGTTCAGCTGCAGCTCCTGATTTGCTGCATGGACTGCCTGGGGCTATGGATGGACTGACTATGGAGCATGTCATGGATTGCACATTTAGCAAGCTGATCATGCCACCAGTAAGGGCTACACAAACAGAAAGGAGTTGGATGACCACCAGGAAGACTATAAGCGTGGGCAGGCAGTGCAGGAGTCCCCTGTAGCCATTTCCCTCTCAAACAGGTACACTGTTTTGGATACTTTTGGGAGGCATGGCCTCTCAAGGGAAGGCAGCAGCAGCAGCCAGATCAGTAGGCATTTCTGTGGCCGCAAGTGAGACTCCAGGATGATGTCTTGCCTTCCTGGTGCCAGGGTCAAGAATGTCACCGAGAATGCACAGGATATTCTGAAGGGAGAGGGTGAACAGCCAGGGGTTGTGGTTCATTTTGGTACTAATGACATAGGCAGAAAGCGGGATGAGGTCCTGCAAAGTGAATTAGTAGGAAGTTGAAAAACAGGACTTCTGGGGGTTTCCAATCTCAGAATTACTCTCTGTGCCTCATGCTAGTGAGGCCAGAATAAGGAAGATAATACAGTTGAGTGTATGGCCAAAGAGCTGGTGTAGGAGGGAGGAATTCAGATATTTGAATCATTACGATCTCTTCCAGGGCAGGTGAGACCTGTACAAGAAGGATGGGTTGCACCTGTACTGGAGGATTGCTAGTGCCATGTGGGAGGGGTGGGAATCAGAGCAGAGGTCAGCATGTGGAGTGTTTGAAGAGAAGACAGGGCTAAATCAAGTAAGTCAAGTAGGAAGAACAGGTAGGGCCAGGTGAATGAACACAATGGGACTAGTGGTCTGAAGTGTATTTATTATAAAGCAAGGAATATAATAGATAAGGCAGTTGAGTTTAAAGCCTGGATTAGCACATGGGACTATGATGTAATAGCCATTACAAAAACTTGGTTCAGAGAAGGGCGGGACTGGCATTCAGCATTAGATGTTTTGGGCATGATAGAGAGGGATACAAAAGGGGGAGGAGTTGCATTATTGATTAAGGAGAATGTTTTTGCTGCACTAAGAGAGGACATCCTGGAGGGATCATCCAGCAAGGCCATACGGTAGAACTCAGGAATAAGAAAGGTGCCGTCACTAACATGGCGTTATACAAGAGTCACCCCAATAACCAGCAGGAGATGGAGGAACAGATATGTAAGGAGATCACCGAAAGATGTAAACACAAAAGCGTCGCATAGTGGGTGATTTTAACTTCCCCAATATTCAGTGGGACACCCTTCATGCGAGGGGCTTAGATGGGGCAGAATTTGTTAGGTGCATCCAGAAGGGCTCCTTGAAACAATATTCAGATGGTCCAACTAGGGGAGGGGCCGTATTAGACCTTGTATTAGGGAATGAGTTGGCCAGGTGATTGAAGTTTCAGTGGGGGAGCATTTCAGCAACAGTGATCATAATTCCATAAGTTTTAAGACTGTTCTGGAAAAGACTAAGATTGTCGGGGGGTAAAAGTGCTAAAGTGGGGGAAGGCTAATAACAACAGTGCTTGGCAGGTATTGGAAAATCTGGATTGGGGCAGCTGTTTGAATATAAATCCACATCTGACATATGAGAGTTTTTTAAAAGCCACTTGACCAGAATTTAGGGCCAGCGTGAAAGATAAGAATGGTAAGTCCAGGAACCTTCGATAGTGAGAGATGTTGCAAGTTTAATTAAAAAGGAAAAGAAAGCATATGCAAGATCTAGGAAACAGAAATCAAACAAGGCCCTTAAGGAGTATGAAGGAAACAGAAGAACTTAAAAAAAATAGATAAAATACCTTTGGCAAGTAGGATTAAGGAGAATCCCAAAGGATTTCATATGTAGATTAGGGGCAAGAGGGTAACGAGGGAAAGGGTAGAGACAAGGATCGAAGAGGGAATTTATAAGTGGAGCCAGAGGAAGTGGGTGATGTCCTTAATGAGTATTTCAATCGGCATTCACCAAGGACAAAGATATGGACTATAAGTTTAGAGAGGAGTTTGTTGTTATGAAATTCTGAGAGGTCTCGACGGTTAGATGTGGAGAGGACGTTTTCTTTTATAGGATGATTAAGTACTAGGGGTCACATTTAAAAAAAAGGAGTCACCCATCTAAAATGGAAATTAGGTGACATTTTTTAATTTAGAGAGTTATAGGTCTTTGGAACTCTCTTCCTGAAAAGGCAGTGGATGCAGAGTCCTTGAAATTTTTTATGGGAAAGGAAGATAGATTTTTGTTAATCGAGGGGTGAAAGGTTATCAGGGTAGATGAGAAGGTGGATTTGAGATTACAATTAGGTCAGCCATGACCTTAGTGAATGGCAAAAAAGGCTTGAGGGGCTGAAAGGCCTACTCATTCTTTTGATATCTATGTTCATTTGTTCAAAGAAGTATAATCACTGCGAATGGTGGAGACAAACTAAGAGTGAATAAAGTTTTGACCAAAAGTGAGCAAGGTGAAGAGGTAAAAAGACTTAGGATTTGAATATCATATATTAGAGCTTACCAGAAAAGAGATAGATTCTGTTGAAGATAACTGAACAGGTTTGGGAATGCAACAATTGTGAAATCATGGCTAATTGAATACTAAGAGTCAAACAAGAATTCTAATATAAGTGCTGGGCGAATCAATTGAGGAATGGATAGGTTGAGTTGGGTTTTATCAGTAAGGGATGATTTTGAATAATACTGCTGATGATCAGAAGACAGAAGGAACGTACCTGGGATTAGGCAGAAGAGGCGGTGTAGTGGGTTGCGGAGAATCATGTATATGCAGCTCAGAGACTGAAGAGGGAAAGTCAGTTAGGATAGTCAATTCAAAGTCAATTCAGGTAAACTAAATAAAGAATGGGAAAGAAAGACTGAATTAAGATATAGAGCTAGAAAGTAAAAGTTAAAAGATTAAATTAAAAACTTATGGAATAAGTCTCGTCATTTCTTAAGGCTAATTCATGATGCCAGAAAGGTACTTCTGCAATACTGAAGACTTCCCACATTGTTAAAAGGTTGAGTAGACTGCAATGACTTGACTTTTTGTGCTTAGTCTAATCTGCTCTACGTACAATGTCAACCAGTACTGGAATTTCACGCTGTTCACTGCATTTGAATGAACACTCTTAGATAGCATCTCCTGGATTTTCGTGCTTAACTGTATATGTGTGTTCAGTGAAAGGTGTGGTCTAATTTTTACAGCAAAATCTACCGTATTAGCTATGCAGTGAGATACCAGGTGTCTCACCACCTTTTACATTTGAGGTTAACTCAATGAAACAGAAAAAATAATGAAAAGCATACAAGCATAACTTTGAGCAACTTAAAATATATGGAAAAATCATCAGGGAACTGGAGATTATATATGAATAATCAGTTATTTTCATTAAAAAAAAAGACTGGAAAATAAGGGTATGCTCTTGTTGTAGCAATAAGACATTGGAAATTACATACTATGGAACATACCAGACCACCAGAGCATGCTTACCAAATTCTCTGCAGTTTTTGTTGCTGTTTTGTAGATCCTGGTTCAACTGTTCTATCTCGGCCTTCAGGGATATGTTTTCATTTTCTTTGTGCTGCTTTTCTTTTTCCAGTCTCTGAAGATCCATCTCTAGGCCTTTCACCACAGCGCCTTGCTTTTCAATTTCTGTTACCTTCCCTTTGATACTATCACGAGCCTGAAGCAGGTCTGTTTCAGATTTCCTCAAGAGGTCATCTCTCTTCTGTATTGCCTTTGGAGGAAATCATGCAGAGTATGTAGAATGCAAATGCACTTCTAAGGGCATTATTTAAGTCGTCCAAAAACCTGTGCTTAATCACTTGGATCAGAAGTTGATCATGCCCATCAAAAGCTGCATTAAAGCTTAAATCAGAAAAATCAAAGTGGCTTTACAGCTTCAAACAACACATCAACCTCAGAACAGTGTTAAAAATAAATCTGCAGCCATGTTATGAAATTACAGATCTAACTGAAGGCCCTGAAATATGAACCAGCCACTAAAGTGTAATTTACTATATAGGGTTTGAAGTTAATACTGGTGTTAAACTGATCTTAAAACTAAACATATGCTTTTGAAAAAGTTGTATACCCACACTGGACTTCACTTTAAATCAGAAGCCAGCATAAGTAATTGCAAGGCTTACAGTTTGTAAATCACTAGCATTTTTTAAAATCAAGTTGCAGACTTCCTAATTTGTGAAGTGGTGTAAAAATGAATTGGTTACATTTCACACAACACTCAAATGAACAAAAGTATAGCCCTCAAAAGATAGCTGCTTGAAATGGATGAAAAAGTTCTTGTAGCTAATAATGAATGCCACTATGTACCTATGCAATAATTAAACTGCAAAAATAATTCAACTCAATGAATACTATTCATGTGTAATACTTGAAATGTGCCAATCCCAGCTGTATATTAGTTTTTTCTCTTGTCTCAGGCACTTTATAATGTTGTAGTTAGATTTCTGAAATGAAAGTATTATTACGTTGAAGATTTTAACTGGGCTAGGTTATTGTGTATTCTGGGGGTATATATTAAAAATCATCACAGCATCTGTTAATTTTGTTTTACTTAAAAACACCCATTTTATTAAATTTCTAGTTAATTATAAACGAGAAACCTTTAGGACTGCAAATTAGTCACAAATTTGCCTCAAGCTAGTATCAGTTTTGACCAATGTTAATGCTAAATTACTAATGACTTTTTCCACATCATTAGATAAGCAATCAATTTGTTAGCCAGCAGAGGCTGGATTAAAGTAATTCTCAGAAGAATACACCACATATTGATAGTGGCTGTAGAGTCCAGTATAAAATGGTATTTCAGAAATTCGAACGTTAACAACACACCAGCATAAGCAGAATACTCCCTTCATTGTTAAGCTATAGAGTCGAAATTCTGTCTCTGGGACAAAGACATTTTCAATTACACCTGTGAATCTCCATATTTTCTTCATGCAGCTAGCATCAATGTTACCATTGATAAATATTTATTTCAAATCTGTTATTTCAATTTGTTCAATTAGGGCTTTGAAAATATTGATACTATGATAGTATTAGGCTTTCAACTTTAATTGCTCACCTGCTCTCGTTGGTTGTATAGTTTTCGACTGTTGCGTAGGTCATTTTCCAGTTGAATGATCTGCTGTCCCAGTTTGGCTGACTCCTTTTGGTGTTTTTGCAACTCAGAGGCTATATCAAGTTGAAGACTTTGGACAACTTTCTCTAAGCGGGCTACATCTTTAGGAAAGATTTTAAGTCCAAAATGTTACTGGAATTTATCAAAGAATTTGGTGATATTTAATAATAAATCAGTTGTAGTGTTCCACACTATTGTGACACAAACAGGACAGGTAACAAAGGATGGGGCCAAGGATCAATCAGAGGGTTCAACAGAAAAGAACAATTAAGGATGCTGTCTATAGCATAGATAGCTATAACCTGGCATCCTGAGATTTTGACCGCTCATTCTAGACTCCATAACCAAGGAGAACATCCTCCTTGCATCTAGTCCTTCCAGCTCTGTCATCCTTCTAAACTTTAGTGTTTTCAGGTCCAGTTGAACTAATGTCTCTTCGTGGGACAGTCCTACCATACTAGCTATCAGCCTGGTGAACCTCCACTGCACTCTCTCTATGGAACGTATATCCTTTCTTAGGCAGTGAGACAAACCTGCACACAATACTCCAGAGGTGGTCTTACTAAAACGCTGTATGACTGTAATAAAACTTCTCTACTTCTGAACCAAAATCATCTTGCAATGAAGGCCAATAAACCATTTGATTTCCTGATAGGTACCTGCCTGTCTATTTTCATTGACTGGTGTACAAAGACACCCAGATCCTTTTGTGCATCCACAATTTATCACCATTTAAGTAATACTCTGCCTTTTTCACACAGAAATGTGTAACTTCATTTTTAGCCACATTGTACTGCATTTGCCATGTGTTTGACGACTCACTCAACTTCTCCAAAGTACTTTGAAGACTTCTTGCATCCGGCATTAACAAATGGAAGGTCACATGTGCCACTTGTCAATATGTACAAGGTATTAAAGGTTATAAGTGAAGAAGCCTTATTGACTCAGTTTTATGCTCAAAGCTGTTGCTGAAAGGTTGTTAGGCACCCTGGACACAGATTTCTTGCATGTTCAGGAACAGCTTGCACCCTCAGGCTCATCTGCTGGTGTTTGAATTTCTAGAGGCCTGTTACAGAAGTCTGGAATTGCACTCCCCTTGCCAGAGCAAATTAGGGCACAGTAACCATTCCTGCGCTAAACGCAGTGAGTACGGACTGTCAGCTGACTTTCTCAGCCATCTCTATCCAGGTTTGCTTGGTTTGAGAAATCAGTCTCCTTCTGCCATCCTCTGGAAAAAGTACTTCCCTTTCTCTCTCTCACTGAGTCAAGGCAAACTATCAACACAGTATCTGCAAAGGATGGGGCAGTGCTGGGCTGATTCCCAGTCCTCTGTCTTTCCTGCAAATGAAACCATTAATTGTTGCCATTCTGTGTTTAAATTGGGCTACTCTCCCACCTCTAGACCTGGCCCACTTCCATTAATTTATCAGCCACATCACCTCCAAGAAAATAGTAGGTTAATCCTATGAAAATCATGACCCCTGAACTGTTTCCTCAGGGAGAGATTTTGTGTCCTGAAAAGTCCCAACATCTATTTCTAGAACTGATTAAATCTGTCCCTGCTCTGATGAGTAATTCAAGCATTGTCTGTTTCCAAAATTTTATTTTTTAAAGATTAATAAGGTTAGGCCAAGTGGCAAAATAGAAATCACAGTAAGAGGGTTGATTTTAATGTTACATGATCAATGGAAAGTGGCAGGGTGAACAGTTAATAATGCACAGGTAAGGCATCAATCAACATTCTGACCATTTATGATATTAACCTGCAGAGTTTTGCAACTCGGATTAGGACAAGCACAAATATATGACCCACCTGCCTGTTTTAAGCAAATCAGTTCTTTATTCCACAACAAGCATAGGCATTCAGTTCAAGCACAACATTTCTGCAGCAATCCTAATTGGGATTCCTACGTATGTAAGCTGAATGCGCTGCTTCGCAGAAGCAGATGTATAGTTGATATGAAGAAACAGGTGTGACTTTGTGGAGAAAGAAGGAGCAAGAATGCAAGTTCCTGGACTACAAGGGAAACATTAGATGACCCTGCTTCAGACTCAGAAATCTCCTCCATAAACTAGGAAAGCAATGTGGATCTGAGTGTTGTGAAAGTACATTTGGCAGGAGTTGCTCTCCTTCCTCTTGATGCTCAATCTGGACTGGAAGTCAACTGGTAGCATTTAAATACGGCTCAACGAATAAAATTGAACTGATCTCCTGCTGCCCCATCCAGCAGAAAATTAACTCACTAGACAGGTTTTTTGCCAAAAAACTCACTTGGAATTAAAACCTGTTCATAATCTTTCAAATATCTTTCACTCTGTACAACAAAAAAGCAAACAATGTATGTAAAACAAAAACACAATCAGTTGTAATATTTTCCCCTTCCAATTTATAATAAATATATTACCTTTAATCCTATCATTCTTTTGTTCTGTAACAGTGGTTAACTGTGCATTCATCTTGTGTATCATTGCCTGATAATTATGGATTTCCTGTGCAAACTCAGAACTCTGAGCATTGACTTGTGCAAGATCCTGGAAGTACAAATGTTAAAATAAAGAGATGATTTATTCAGTCATACTAATAAAGCATTATCATGTAAGGCCCCCATAAATGTTGGACAGAAACAATAATTCATCCAGATTAAAAAAATGAAACAAAATACAATTGCAAATTAACGACAGTTATGGGGTACGGATGTACTTATTTCATCCTATGTACCATTGTACGACATGACTGTCATTACAGAAAAATGATGGAGTCAACATCATGCTGACCTATATTTTCACAAGTGCCTACTGGCGCATAGCTTGCTTTGGGAAAGACGGGTTATTTATCTATGTGGCAAGTATAACATTGCTTGTAGTAATTGCTTTTGAGGATCTTAACCATAAAAAAATCTGTTTTACACAGCTGGATTGGCAATTGAAAGCCATTGGCTACCAATATGAAAGCCAGTGCACTTCTGGGAATTTGGTAGGCGGTGGTTATAACTGTGTCTGGCAGATGGGCATATTAAATCATGGAGTGCTTATTAAATGTAAGTTAACAAAATGTAGATTATTGATTAACAAACCAAATCAGGTGGTCAGAAATAGAAAACAAAATGTTGTAGCTTAGGTGGACTAAGAAACAAGGCTCAACCTTTAAATAATTTGCCCTTTCTCAGTTGCAATCAAATTGATTAGATTTCTTAAAAAGTGATTTGAGGTGTTAAAATACAAGGTTGAATTGACACATAAATTAACTTTATAGGGGAGATGGTGGGATAGCGGTAATGTCTCTGGACTGGGAATCCAGAGTCCCAAGTTCATTCTCTGGTAACATGGGTTCAAATCTCATCACAGCAACTAATGCAATTTAAATTCAATTAATAAATCTGGAATATAAATCTGGTCACTGTAGTTAACCATGAAACCAATGTTGTTTGTTGTTAAACCCATCAGCTAAATAAATGCCCTGTAGGTAAGGAAATCAACTGTCCTTACCCAGTCTAGCATACATGTGACTACAGACCCAAGCAATGGGGTTAACTCTTAATTGCCGTCTGCAATGGTCTTAGATTAAGGTCAATAAATGCTAGCAACACTTGTGTTCTAAGACAGAATAAAGAAGAAAACAAAATCTCACAAAGTAATGGCTGAACAGTGTCAGCAGGAGTTACCCTCTATGAACTTTGGATGACTGACATTGTGTGACAAATTAGTTCAGCTTGTGATCTCTGGCCTATTCAGCATTAACGCCTGGATGGAGCATGCTAAAGATTTCACAGGTTTTCAAAGAAATACTTGTGTTAAGTATAGAATATTGCTACATAATTTAATGAAGACCACTCCTCTTTACTGCTATTACATGACTGGAGCTCAGAAGTACAATGCAAAGTTATTGAGTATCACTAGTATATATTAATCTGAGGTAAATCAATGATAATAAGGAACAATACATATTGAAATATTAAAGCAATTACTTAACACCCTTGACTTAGAATGAATGAAGAACCTATTTGCTTTTTACATTTGATTTCAGAAAAATAGAGCAGAAATATTTATTTTAGCAGGTGTGTAGTTTATGCTGTCATTTTCTAAGTTACTAAAATTCAATCTGTGAGAGGCATGAGTTAATGAGCATGCATTTAGCTTGAGAATCTTATATATTGGTATATCAGTAGCTGAAAGTGTGGCAGGAATCTTGCAGTATAAACCACTCCATGCTTTGTTATTTTAGTACATTCAGAATGCTGCATATTCAAAAGTGTGTAAAAAGCAGCACTGAAATTGATAATTCAGATGGATGTATTAAATTTGTAGTGTAGTGCATGATAATTGGAACAGTTTTGAGTTATATTTGGCAAAACTTCAATGTAGGCCAAATACTCATAACAAAAACAGGCACAAAATGGACATGGTGGCCATGTTAGTTCCATGATATGCATTCTTTTCAGGTACATACATTTAATGCATTATTGCATTACATGCATTAATTTGAAATTGATGGATTAGTTGACATCATGACTTGTACTAGTACTCTGCAAGTATATCATTGAGCAAGTGATTTTTGAACTAGCCTAATGTTGTTCCTGGTGACCTACATTTTTTATGATAGTATGGTACTTGGGTGGAAAGGGTGACAATAAAGGTGGTGCAGTGTTTACTTTGCTTCTTGTCTGGAATACAATAGTTCTTAAATATGAGATTCTCTATTAATGTTCTGTGAGGCTTTTGATGAGGAAATAAACAGAGGGAAGAACATTTTATTTTTATTAGAAAGGAGCATACCACTCTTCTGCCAGAAGAGCATTATCTGAATTGGTTGAACATGAAAACACTGTAATATGCCACTATTGGCATGAGCGATGTGCTGGATACCAGATTCACAATATTTTGTCGGGATGTCAGGGGCTAGGATAACTGAGGCAACTGACACTCTGAGGAGCAGGTCAGACCAGGTTGATGTTGAGCCCCAAACAGATGATGTGATTCTGGAAATGTCATAAGGCAGCAAATGCTGTAAGTTCAGCATGAGGCATGTGTGAAGATGATGGAGATTCCAAAGGGTGGCTGCACTCTGGCCCAGATGTGGAGGAATCCACCCAGCTATGCCTGCTGTCAATTCCCTCTTGGCTGTGCATCTGGTCTCTTCCATTAAGAGACTTGCTTGCACTTGTGGTAAACTGCAATAGTGGAGGTTCCAGGTAGACTTTTATTTGGAAGAATGGTATAGAATGGTCATCAGAAATGTATATGTATGGATATTTCGCGAGCCCCTACGTCACTATGTCCTCTGTGTGACCTCTACATGGTTTACCAGATGCTGCAGATTCCTCATCATCCTGTTTCTCTGAAGGTGCTTTGCTTTCCATCATATCCTAATTGACCATGGCCTGTCCATTCTGTAGCACTTGTGTGTACAAAACCAAGCAGGCCACCATGATCTGGGAGATCGTAACTGGGGAAACTCCCCACCAGAAAGGTACCAGCATTTAACTCTTATCTTCAAGGGACTTATGGTCTGGGATTCTTTTCTGGAGTCACAATCATCTCTTTAGTAGTCACTAAGGATACAATTTCATGGTGGGTGGAGAGGCATTAAAAGCTCAGACACCCTAGAATGCCTGAGTATGTCAATGTCAAGGCTGCTTCCAGCATATTATGCAACACACTTTTAGGATTCATTGAGAGTGGCCACATGTCAGATGAACACTATAATCTCAACAATAATCTCTAGTAATTTCCCTAAATTCGGAATTTGGCTAACTGACATATAGTTTCCTGTTATCTCTTGCCTTTTTTCTTCAATAGTAGTATTACAATAACTATTTTCCAACATGCTGGAACATTTAAAAAATCTATAGAATTTTGGAAGATTATACAAAGTGTGTCCACTATCACTGTAGCCACTTAGGGTCATAGAATCGTGAAGATGTACAGCGCAGAAACAGAACCTTCAGTCCAACTCGTCCGTGCCGATCAGATATCCTGAATAAATCTCTGAATAAATTTCTGAAGGGTCCCAACCCAAAACATCAGCTTTCCTGCTCCTCTGATGCTGCCTGGCCTGCTGTGTTCCTCCAGCTCCAGACTGTGTTATCTCAGACTCCAGCATCGGCAGTTCTTACTATCTCTGAATAAATCTAGTCCCATTTGCCAGCATTTGGCCCATATCCCTCTAAACTCTTCCTATTCATTTACCCATCCAGACGCCTTTTAAATGTTGCAATCGTACCAACCTCCACCACTTCCTTTGGCAGCTCATTCCAGACATGCACCACCTGCTGGGTGAAAAAGTTGCCTCTTAGATCCCTTTTAAATTTTTCCTCTCTCACCTTAAACCTATGTCATCTAGTTTTGGACTCACCCACCCCAGGGAAAAGACCTTGTCTATTTACCTTACCTGTGCCCCTCATGATTTTACAAACCTCTTAAAGTCACCCCTCAGCCTCCGACGCTCCAGGGAAAATAGCCACAGTCTATTCAGCCTCTCTCTACTGCTTAAACCCTCCAATCCTGCCAACGTCCTTGTAAATATTTTCTGAACCCTTTCAAGTTTCACAACATTCTTCCTACGGCATTGAGGCCAGAATTGAACACAATATTCCAAAAGTGGCCAAACCAGTGCCCTGTACAGCTGCAACATGACCTCCCAACTCCTAAATTCAAAGCACTGACCAATAAAAGCAAGCATACCAAATGCCTTCTTCACTATTCTATCTCCCTGGGATTTCACTTTCAAGGAACTTTGAACCCACACTCCAAGATCTCTTTGTTTCAGCAACACTCCCCAGGACCTTACCATTAAGTATAAGTCCTGGATTGGACAAGGGTGATTCTCAGGGATCCTCACTTGCTTTTTTAGCGCTCACTCACTTTGAGCCCCGCAGCATTTCTGCTTTACCTTGCCCATTTACACTTTGCTCCCTCAGTCAGAGCTGACAGACTGAGAGTACTTCTGTCTTGCCTTGCCATGACAGCGGATGCAAGGCCAGGCAGCTTGTCATGGTTGTCAGCACTCCATAGTCAAGGAGATAGACATGTTGCTGTACAGAACCGTGCTGTGTCAATGACACATCTGCATCATGTGCCAGCTATGTACATGCCAAACATACTGTCTGTACATCAACCAAGATCTAAGAAGGAAGTCCTCAAGTCCAGACCCTACAGGCAGGGGATCCCAGCACCGTAGGTCAAGGACAATGACCGATATAAATCCAGGGGCTTGGGCACAGTTAGTTGGCCATTCCAGGCAGTCAGTCAGGATTCTCTTCTCATAGGAGGTCAGAAGCCAAATGTCAGGTGCCTGACCACCTGTCTTTGCTCTTTTTGTCTTGTTGTCGGCTGTTGTCTTTTAGAATGAAACAAAGGAAGAGATTGAGTCAGATGAAAGTGGCTGGCAAAGTGTTAGTAATAGTGCAGATGAAGGAATAGGTGATGAGGTATGCTGAGTAAGTGAGCAGGAATGCAGACACCATGCAGGGTTATTTGTCTAGGGAAACTGGGTCGGTGAGACTGAGTGAGGCTCAATACAGGGGGTTTTGCTC